ACCAAAAAAAAAAAAAAAAAAAAAAAAAAAACTAGGGCACAGATTACGATTTATTTATCTCTTGCAGTTCTCGACCGTTTTCGAACGTTATAAATCTTTTGATACGATCATGCTACCAAAGCTTCATCTTGCCATGATACTGGCAAATTTTGCAAGCTCGACAGTTTTTAAAATCAGTTGATGTTAATACGAACCACCCACATCAGCTTGCAACTGTATCTTCCGCCTCCCCGATTCAATAACTTAAGCGTCCATTCCAGTGATTCATTTTCTCGCATTCTACCAAATGTTTGGGTAAAATCCACAAAGCTTAACTGATATGAATACATTATAGCACGTAATAGTATATCTATAACTTCTGGCTTTGCCTATGAGACCACCCAGCCCGTTGAGTCCATGCTCCATGATCATCCCAACATCCTCTCCCCCAAAGGCACAATAAAGTTACGGTTCTTTGGAGCTTGTGATATGGGTACTATTCTCTAGAAAGCTGTGATTGTTGTTTGATCCTAATTGGACAATCGATCCATGACGAATATCTGGTGGTGTTCTGATGCATGATGATGAATTGCAGAATGACGTTCCCGTTGTAGCATTTTTCTGCCACAGAGTATTGCATTATCCTTGACAAGTGGGCTGTCAGTGTATGTTTCGGAGATAATATTAGGATCTGGTGAATATTCCATTGGCAAGAACAGAGCCGGGATGATAGTTTGTTAGTGGAGCCACCTTGTGGACCTGCAGTTTCAACGTCTAGGCTCCTGGTGTCCGGCTCCTTCTTATTAGCAAAACCTGATAGTGAGTCTGTACCATAAGCGAGCCCCTCCGTGGATATGAGTTCCATTTTCAATCCAGAAAGTTGCCTATCATTGGGCCAGTTGCATTGATCATTCCTTGCAAACCGATGTTGTCCCGTTTTAAAGCCTAAATCCAGAACCGGTCCTGCCCCACGCGTCTACAAAGAAATGGTATCCTTTTCCTCTTATTTTCTATTTATACCCAAGCCTACCCTGCAGGCTCAGAAGACATCACCCTGGTTGAACATGGCGTCGGCAACCTTGATGAAACCAGCGATGTTGGCACCCTTCAACAACGAAGGCAAGCCGGCGTCCTTGTCCACGGAGTACTTGATGGCGGTGTCGTAACAGTTCTCGAAACAGGTGTACATGATGTCCTTCAACTTGTTGTCAACCTCCTCCTCGGTCCACTTGACTCTCTGGGAGTTCTGGGCCATCTCCAAACCAGACACGGCAACACCACCACAGTTGGCCGCCTTGCCGGGAGCGTACCAAACGCCCTTGGCTCTGTTGGCCTCGAACACGTCAATGGCCTCTTTGGTGGAACCCATGTTGGAGCCCTCGGCAATGTAGAGACAGTTGGCCTCCACCAAGACCTTGGCCTCGTCGCCAGAAACCTCGTTTTGCGTGGCACATGGCAAGGCAATGTCGACCTGGCCCACGTGGACCCATGGACGCGCACCGGCAATGTACTCGACCTTCTTGCCAGAGAAGGCGGAGGCCGAGATGATCTGCTCCAACGACTGGAACTTGACCTTGGCCACGATGATCTCCTGGACCTGCTCGGGCGTGATGCCCTCCTGCACGATGATGGAGCCCTTGGAGTCGGACAACGACACGACGGTTCCGCCCAACTCAATGACCTTCAAGGCAGCGTACTGGGCCACGTTTCCGGACCCGGAGATGGCCACGCGCTTGCCCTTGAAGGACTCCTTGCCGCCGGTGGCCTTCTCAATCATCTTCTCCACGTAGTACACCGTGCCGTAGCCGGTGGCCTCGGGCCTGATCAAAGAGCCTCCCCAGGACAAGCCCTTGCCGGTCAAAACACCGGAGAAGTTGTTCTGCATGGACTTGTAGGCGCCGAAAAGGAAGCCCACCTCACGGCCACCCACACCAATGTCGCCCGCAGGCACGTCGGTGTCGGCACCAATGTATCTGGCCAACTGTCTCATGAAGGCCACGCAGAATCTCCTGATCTCGTTGTCGGATCTGTTCTTGGGGTTGAAGTCCGAGCCTCCCTTGCCGCCGCCCATCATCAAGCCGGTCAACGCGTTCTTGAAGATCTGCTCGTATCCCAAGAACTTCAAGATGGACAAGTTGACGCTGGGGTGGAATCTGAGACCGCCCTTGTATGGGCCCAAGGCAGAGTTGAACTGCACACGGAACCCGTTGTTGACCTCGACCTCGTGGTTGTCGTTTTCCCACGCGACTCTGAACTGGATGATTCTCTCCGGCACAGAGACAACGGGGATCACCTTCTTGTACTCGGGGTGCTCGGTGAAAAGCGTGGAGTCTTCAAGGGCAGACAACAACTCGTTGTAAGCTTGCTGGAATTCGGGTTCGTGGGGCAACACCATTGTAGACTGGAAGACTGGAGGGTTCGAGAAAGTCGTGGTCTGGAGAAAAGTTTGGAGCCAACGGGGCGCCAGGCAGGCCCATGCTTATATACATCGGCGCCTCTCCTGCGCCTGTCTTGCAATTACGTAGTTGAGTCGAGAAGCACCGGAGCTTGCCTGGGAAAAGAAACGCGCGCTTGAGTCAACGGCCTGCATGCGGCGCGCGGCGCGCTTGATCTCCCGCCAATCACAGCGCGCGATTGTGCGCGATTGTGCGCGATTGTGCGCGATTGCGCGCGTCCATGCACGTCCTCACGAGTCATGCCATCGGGCCTGAAGCGGGCCGCCCAATCGCCTCGCTCCGGACTTATCAGTAGCAAATCACACGGGAGTGCCTGGCTGCGCTACTGCTTTTGCCTTCTGCAAGCGCGGGTCTCGGAGCTCCACGAACACCGGGGCGACAGAATGGGGCCGGAAAAAATGGCCCGGAAATCGGCCAATCAAAACTGTCTCCGCCAATCAACACATTCCCGGCCAGCCAAAACAGATAATCTCGACTGGCCAAAACGAATAATCGCGACTGGCCAAAACAAATAATCTCGGCTGGTCAAAACAAATAATCTCGGCTGGCCAGAATTAAAAAAGACAAAGGCCGAATGGTCGGAATATCCGTGCCCTGCGCCTTTTTGGACCCTCGCTCCCGCGGCCCTGCTCTCATCAATTTACGCTTTTTGGACATGGCTCGGACCTCGCCTTGCTTGACTGTGCTTTACTTTCTTGTTTTCAGTATCTGCCGGGACGTTGTGGAGTGCAGGACATGCCAACATTCCATGGGTGCTATTTTTCCATGGCTCCCGAAATTAAAATGTAGACTTCCTGGGGCATGTTGAGACTCGTGGTCCTGCTCTGCTTTCCGCCACACAGTGCGGCAAGCGGGTACGACTTCCCAATTGAAATATGTCCCACGGCTTTAAAATTTAAACACACTTCCCCACCGATCGAAAACTTACGTTGCATCAAAAGCTTGCGGTGCATGTAAAGCTTACGGTGCATTGCACCCCGCCCGGTTTTATTGTTGGCGTTTCAGTCGAGATCAACCGTAAGTGCATTATGTGCACTCCTTCGCCATAGAACTCCATACCGATAACAGACCTGTCCTTTTCCGAGGGAACTGCAACTTCGGGCCATGCGATATAATGTGCCCAGGTAGCGCTTCGTATGACCAAACTGAATAGGGCCGCTAGACATCTTAACACACCGTAACGCTTTTTAACTTGTAACGCATCGTAAGACATTGCTAGTCGGCATATAGTTTCAGAAGGCGTACTATGTTCATGAGGGGTTTTGCCTTCCCATGACATTGGGATATATTCGACGCTATGAGTGCGACAAAGAAACGTTAGTGATTCGTTTTATCGTATGGTGGCATATTAGATGGGACGGATCTGCTTAATTAATACTATTCCGATATTTAGCTGGCAGGTTCTGGTGCGCCTCCTCAATGCCGAGCACCCTGTTCTGAAACTATTGCAAATAAATGCTTTGCAACGATTTTTCCGATGAATTCATGGGAATGCTTAAAAGAAGTTTTGTCCTAGTCTGGAAGAATACTATGATTATCCAAATTTTTGCAGCGATAATCCAGCTAGAAAGGCACGAGCAAGTCACGTAATAGCTTCTGTTCATAGTGACAAGCGATCTAGGTTTATGGCTCATAGCTATCAATAGCTCACTGTTTGCTCACGTTCCTGACGTGCGTTACAAAGTAATTCTTTTATTGAATGATTAGATTCAAGGTGAGAAAAGATCTTCGCGTTGATCTAGCCAGTGTCCTTATCGACACGCAACAGCTTCGTGTTTCTTTAATTGGGGTTCTCTTCTATAAATCTAATAAGTGGGATTCTTCAAAAACTACCTAATGCCGCATTTACGAAGCGATGCTTTCATATCCGTTTTGCGAAATATATCGTTTTGCAAGGAGGTTGAGCAGAGCAAACCCTCGCACAACTGCCGTATCTACAATCCAATCAATTTGATCAGTTTGATCAGTTTAAAAAATGTGCAAGCTTTTACGCATGATTCTTCAACCTGCTGTACATTTGAAAACAATCGGTGACGTTTTGCAAGCATCACATTACTTCCTCAAAAAATATCTCCAGCAGTTCCGTATAGAACCTGAAAATAGACTCGCTATGGCGGCTTGCCAAACTCAGCCATGTTCACCATACAAATATCAACTTTTTCTAGATTCATCAGTACTTTTCAACCCTGCAAAAAGAAGGTAAAAGAAAGACAGACAATTAAACATGCATAGTTCTCACAGTTGAAATTGATTTGTGTGGCTCAGCTGGATTAAGAAGTCTTTCCAATGACTCAATGGCTCAGTATTTATCCAGAATATCCAAAAAGAACCCTTACCCTTATGAACTTTAAAAACAAAAAACACCTGAGAGCAGAAATAAACCAGCAAACGAACCCAAAAGCCTAACGGAAATCGTAGACACTGTCAGAGTCTACGAACTCTAAATGCCCAACTCGGTCCATTTTCAAACACTTCGCTTTATTCCCCCCACGATCTTTCGCTTCTTCATAACGTCTCTCGCAAACTCGACTTTATGTCCTTTTAAGTTATAAGAGTCGGACGGGCCGTGAGGCGGTCGAAGCATTCTTTCGACCATCTATATACAAACACTCTCAACGGCCAGAGTCATATACCCGCATTCTGGACGTCACACGCTCGTCGACTTCAAGCTCTTGCACCCACTCGCTCTTCTTCTCTTTGCCTCTCTCAACCCACTTCTTCGGCCATTCCACCTCTTCCTCTTTGCCCAAGAACTGATCTTTGAACTCGAATTTTCTGCTGTGTCCGTCCACAACATACATAGTCTTTGCCGACACCTCCTCGGCCAATTCCCGCCTGGTGAAATAACGATATATCTTTCTTGGCATGTTCCTGAATCCGGTCAATTTGGGGATAGGAAAGACGTAGAGCGGTTGTTCGAAAATCACAGGAACGTTGTCCTTGTTTCGGATTACAGAGTTGAAGTCAAGTTCAGGGGCCAATTGTCCGCTGGCGTAGTCGCCAGGAAGTATATATGGCTTTGGCACGGGATTTTCTTTTTTCGCTGCCTCGCCCTCCTTCTCTGCGAAATCGGCAATCTCGGCCGGCTTTGTTTCATCAGCAACTTCAGGTGTCTTTTGCTCTACGACGATATCCTGCTTGTTCTCATTTGCCTCGGGAGTATCTCTGGCGATACTGTTTTCGACTGCAGTATTCTCGACAGAATTATCATCAGCAGTGTTGTCAACAGCAGTGTTGAAAGTAGCAGTATTGTCAACAGCAGTATTGTCAACAGCATTGTCTTCGGAGACCGGCTTCTCGTTTAAAACAACCTCTGCGGGCTTTTCTAAGGGCCCTAGGAGACCCTCGTGCACACCATTGATGTACTCTTTGTAAGTGCCTCTGCCAATGCAAATGACACCGCCACATAGAAGGGCATCGTCCTCGAAGTCCCGATGTGGGGTCACGGGCTCGGCCACTTTGTAAAGACCCAAAACATCGGTGGGACCGTACAACTCGTGGCGTGCGACGTATGTTTCGGGCTCGGGCTCTTTCCTCTTGAACCTGGCAAATGCCAGCGGCACGCTTTCGCGGAAAAACCTGGACCATGACTTCTCGTACGCTTGCTGTGCAAGCTCTTCGCTCTCAGCCAATCTGGCCGCATTCTGGTCACGCCTCAACTGCCTGATTTTCTCTGCCACCTGCGAGCGAATGTCGCCCTGCCTATTTTCCGTGTAGACCTCGAAATCAATGGCCGCGGCGTTCAAGATGGGCTTGATGTAGTGGCGGAAATGGCGTAAGGACTCATCAAGAAAGTCGTCCGGAGGAGGGGCAATGAAAATAGAGAGTTTACGGGGCAAGCGGCCCGTGGTGTAAGTTTCCTGGCCCAAGGCCTCGACCTGCTTCATGTACTTTTGTCTGATGGCCTTTTGCTGCTGCTTGTCGTAGTAAATGCCGCCGCTCACAGATGCCAAAAGCGTCCAGAAGATCATCCAGTTGCGCGAGGGAAGCGAGACTCTGGGAATGCCCATGGCGCGGAGCGCAGGGTTCGACCAGCTTTTCTTGGCCGGCTTGGCAGGCTCGCTAGGAGCCGCTGGTTTGTTTCCGTCACTCATGGCGCAAAAAATAGGAGGATGAGCCAAGTGCCTTGTACGGTGAAACCTGGAGAAATGTCAGTGATGGGGCCGGGCCAAAATTCTCAGTGCGAAAAGCGCGCGCTGCGGGCCCGTCCGCGGGCACTATTTGCCAAGCGTCGAACTATGGTTTTGGAAGTCTCCATGACTTGGGAGATGTTTTCGGGATTTTGGGGAGGTTTTCTTTTCTGGAGTCTTGAAAGGGTCTCTATCCGTTTGGTGGTTTGGCCCGATACCTAGTTCTTCTTCGGGTTGTTCGGGGATGGCCATGACTCTGCGGTGCGGCTTGGGTCCTATTGCTGCGAAAACCAAGGCCTTGATGCCTGGAACCGTTACCAACTGACACCGGCCAGTAGGCTAATCTATGTAAGTAAAGCAAAAGTCGCATTAAATTGACCAGTCTTGGAGCTGATAGAGCGAGCCACGCGTCGGCGAACACATGAAGCAAAGCGAAGGAGTCAGCCGAATGAAGAACACCGTACGGGTCAGCCGAACGAAGAACACCGTACGAGTCAGCCGAACGAAGCAAACCGTACGAATCAGCCGAACGAAGCAAACCGTACGAGTCAGCCGAACCAAGCATGTCAAAACAAACCATCCAGACCAAGCAGGAAGAAAGAGCCACCCAAACGGAGCAGATAGAAAGAGCCCACCAAACAACAGGCCAGTCGGCCGGGCGGCGCCCGCTCACGCGCGCAAAAACGCCTCGAGCTCGGTCTGCAAGTCCGTCTTGTCCAAGTCCTTGCCAATGAACACGAGCTTGTTCAGCGTGATGTCCGGGTGCAACACGCCGTTCTCGATGATGTCGTAGGTGTCCCTCACGCCCTGCACGACGCGCACGTCGGCCCCGTGCACGAGGATGCCCTTGAGGCGGTGGACCTCGACCGCACGCCCGCACACCGAGCTGTCCCAGAGCACCTTCTGGAGAAACAGCTCGGCCCGCGCAAAGCCCGCCGGGCAGGTGAAGAAGGGGAAGTCGAGCGCCACCGTGCGGATGCGGTCGTCGTGGAACACCAAGTCCGAGGCGGCCGCCATGCGGCGCGGCGGCGCGGCCGAGGCCTCGAACGCGTGGAGCCCCAAGATCTTGTCCAAGGACACGTCGCCGAAACTGGTGGGGTACATGGGCGACAGCGCGTTGATGGCGCGGAGCCGGCGCGTGAGCTCGGCCATGGCGCCCGGGCGCAGCGCCACCAAGTCGGCCTTGTTCAAGAGCACGCAGTCGGCCATGGCGATCTGGAGGTGCGCCGTGGTGAGCCCCTCGCGCAAGCGCTCGGCCTCGCGGCCGGCGTCCTCGGGCAAGGGCTCCTGCGCCAGGTACTGCACGAGGTGCCTGTTGGCACGGTGCCAGTGGCCGCCCACGTCGGCGAGGCACGTGGCGATGTTGGCCAGGTCCACCACGGTGACCACGCCGTCGATGTACACGCTGGCGGCCAACGCGTCGTCGAGCCAGAACATCTTGGCAATGGGCGCCGGGTCCGCCACGCCCGTGGTCTCGAGGAGAATGTGGTCGATGCGGTCCTTGGAGCTCTGCACGAGGTTCTCGATGGCCGCCACGCCGTTGTCCTTGACCGTGCAGCAGAGGCAGCCGTTGCCCAAATCGAGCCACTCTTGCACGGCGCCGCGGTCCGCGCCGGTGATGGTGACCAGCTTCTCGATGGCCGCGGTGTCGCCAAACTCGTTGAGGATCACCGCGAGCCGCTTGTTGCTGGTGCGCGCCACCATGTCCAAGAGCGTCAGCTTGCCTGAGCCGAGGTAGCCGGTGACGATGGTGACGGGGATGCGGCGGGGCTCGCTGTTTGTGGGCTCGTAGGCCGTGGTGTCGAGGACCGTGGCCAAGTGCAGCTGCTGGACGGTGAAGTCCTGGGGGAGGTGCTCGACGAGCTGGGGGATATCGTCTGCGTCGCCCATGGTGCTGCTGTCTTTTTGTGTGTGTGTGTGGGTGTGTTGCCGTGACGCTGGTTCTGTTGGTCTGGGTTTGGTTTGGTTTGGGTCGGTTCCAGCCAATGAATGTCAATCTGGGTATGCCACGCTTTCTGTTTGGGACTGTGTTGTGATCAGCACTGTGTTTTGATCAGCACGCCTAGTCAGCACTCGTTGCTGTTGTCAGCTAGTCTGTGGTTTCCAGCTAGTTTGTGGTTTCCAGCTATTTTCTGTGATCTCCAGATATTTTCTGTGATCTCCAGTTAGTCTCTGTGGTTTCCAGCTAGTCTCTGTGGTTTCCAGCTATTCTGTGGCTTCCAGCCAAGTCTGTGGCTTCCAGCCAAGTCTGTGGTTTCCAGCTATTTTCTGTGATCTCCAGCTAGTCTCTGGTCTCAACACTGGTTCTGCAACACCGGTCCTGACCTCGGGCTGTCTGTTGTCGGGCTTCTGTTCTTAAAATCTTTCGTGTCTTAGAGAGTCGACGCTGTCCACTGTCTATGGCGTGTTTTGGTGCTCTACTGCCTGGCTCCAATCCGTGGCGTCCGTATTTGCCGGTGTCTGGACCCATTGCTTTCGCGCGGGCCCTGGGTGGTGGTGTCCTTTCAGGCTTGCCGCGCACGCACACGGCCCTCTGCACAGGGCCGCCCGGCCTGAGCTCATGGCCTGTTTTCGCCGGGCCGCGCGTCCTATGATTTTTGGAAAAAGGTGGTTTTGGTTTGGCGGTGCGCACCATTATTTCAACACTGAAAAAGACACTTCCAGCTAGACCAGGTCTGCGCAACGGAAACCACAGCTACACGGCTTTTCAACACTGGAATCTCGAGAGGGTCGCACGCTGCAAGACTGCCGTGCTGCCATATTTCAGGAAATCCAGGATCACCAACAGACATCTAAGGCGTCCCGCGACGAGTCTCTACAGCCTTGACAGCTTTCTGGAAATCTTCAGAAATTTCACACAGCTTTCTGGAAATCTTCAGAGTATTAGCACAGCTTTCTGGAAATCTTCAGAGTCTTAGCTCAGCTTTCTGGAAATCTTCAGAGTCTTAGCTCAGCTTTCTGGAAATCTTCAAAGATTTCACACAGCTTTCTGGAAATCTCCCCAGTCTTAACACAGCTTTCTGGAAATCTTCAGAGATTTCACACAGCTTTCTGGAAATCTCCCCAGTCTTAACACAGCTTTCTGGAAGTCTTCAGAGTCTTAACACAAGTTTCTGGAAGTCTTCAGAGTCTTAGCTCAGCTTTCTGGAAATCTTCAAAGATTTCACACAGCTTTCTGGAAATCTCCACAGTCTTCACACAGCTCCCTGAAGGTCTCCACATCTCGCGAGAAATCCCAAACGCCAGTCAACGGATCTTCAAAACGGCCACACCCAGCATCGCCATCAACCCCAGGCCCCAAACCTCCCCCAATGTCCCAAAAGTACATAATCCTAGCGGACCTCGCGTTGGCGGCCATCGTGGGCGCCCACCTTGTCCTCGCGCCTTACACCAAAGTCGAGGAGTCATTCAACATCCAGGCCGTTCACGACATGCTCAACTACGGCGTGTTCCCCGCACTGGTCCTCGACAAGTTCGACCACAAAACGTTCCCGGGCGTCGTGCCCCGCACGTTCGTCGGCAGCGTGGCCGTTGCCGCGCTGGTGAAAGTCCTTGACTTGTTGTCCGTGCTCGTGACAGGCGCCTCGTTTGTGGCCGACGGCAAAACCGGCCAGTTGCACGTGCAAATGGCCGCCCGCGCCGTGGTGGCCGCCGCCAACGTCTGGGGCTTCCGCCGCTTGCGGCAAAGCCTTGCTGCCGTGCTGCCTGGAAAACCGGCCGGGCCGCTTTTCTACTCCGCAATGCTCTTGGCGCAGTTCCACGTGGTGTTCTACGCGTCGCGCATGTTGCCCAATTTCGTGGCCATGCCGCTTGTCAACTTGGGCCTCGCCAAACTCGTGTCCGGCGATCTCCGCGGCTTGACGTGGCTCGCGTTTGTGGGCGTGGTGTTCCGCCTCGAGGTGGGGGTGCTTGCCTCCATCGTGGCGCTCGTGTCGTCCTTGGTGTTCGGCCAGTCGAACGTACTCCAGGGCTTTTCCATGCTTGCCGCGGGCTCGGTGGTGGGGCTCGCCTTGACCTACTCGGCAGACCTGTATTTCTGGGGCTCGCCCACCTTCCCGGAGCTCCAGGCGTTCGTCTTCAACGTGGTGCACGGCAAATCCGCGGAGTGGGGCGTCGAGCCGTTCTCCGCGTACTTCACCAAGTACATCGCCAACTTTTTCAGGCCGCCGCATGTGCTCGTGCTCGCGGTGCTTGGTCTCTTGCGTGACCCGGCCCGTGCTTCCGGAAAGGCCGTGGCTGGCTCTGGCGCAACAGGCCCCAGTCCGGCAAGAAACTCCTTGAGGATCTTGGCCGTTTCGGCGCTCTTGTTTGTCCTGGCCATGTCCCTCCAGCCCCACAAGGAGTGGCGCTTTGTCATCTACGTTGTGCCCATCTTGACGCTCTTGGCGGGCAACGGCTTTGCCCATTTATGGTACAAGCCTTCGGCCCTGTACGCGCACAAGCTCCTCGTGCTCTTAGTCATGGGAAGCACGTTGGCCTCGCTCTTCATCTCCTCATTCATGGCGTACGCCTCCAGCTTCAATTACCCGGGAGGGGCGGCCATCCACTATGTGAACCAGCTTGTCTCGGAAGTACCGGCACACACCCAGGTCACCGTGCACATGGACGTGCCCGCGTGCATGACTGGCATCACGCGCTTCACCGAGCTCCACCGGGCCAACATTGTGTTTGACAAGACGGAAACAGAGCACGCGTTGGCCAGGATCTGGAACAGCGTGGACTACTTGATCTCCCACAGGAACATGGACGAGCCGCACGTGTCGGACTTGGTCATCTACGACGCAAGCCATTGGATCCGCCTCCACCTGGTGCCTGCCTTCGTGGGCATTGATGTCCAGGGCGTGGTGCGCAGCGTCCAGCTTCTCGTGGGCAACCCGAAGTTCAGGTCGCAGGTCGCCGCGTCTGCGTGGGCGGAGTTGAAAGTCGGCAAGTTCACAACGCTTGCTGCCTTGGTCGATCGTTCCATCGTGTTAAGAGACTACTTGCACATATACAAACGCACGGCCCCGGACCCCATGCCCGCCATTCTCGAATTGGATCCCGAGAAAGAAGAATTGGAAGCCGAGCAACTCTTGATGAAAGAGTACGAAGAGCAGCTCGCAAACCAAATCGATCCTCAAGATATCCGTGAGTCTGTCAACGAGCAGATCGACGATCTCGAGGACGCTGTGAACGCTAGGCACGACACAGACGAGCTCTGAGACAGAATCATCAAGGATCAAAGATATTTGTGGGGCTCTGCAACGACTCAGTCCGCGATTGGAGCCTTTCCCGCAATTTTCTTATTGGCGAATACCTGATCTCTGTGCTGTTGCCACTTTGCGGGATCACCACGGGCTTTATTCGTTGAAGTCGTTTTGCCGTCTCAAGCATGCGGGTCTCGGATTCTGCGCTTGAACGCTCCTGGCCCAGCAAGCTCTGCTCGGGTGATGAAGTAGCTTCGGGACCCATTCGACCGTTGGTGTATGTTTCGAATCGAGGAGCTGGCGGAGGCCTCATAGGTAGCCTGGTGGGACTGCTCTCCAAAGTGGGGGGTGGGAGCTTTGTGGATTCCGAACGATGAAGTTTGTTTTTGCCATAGCCACTATCTTCTTTTGCTAGTTTGTATCGGTTGGTCAAAGCATCCATTTTTGTCGACTTCATTTTTTGATTGGTCTCTTGAAGACGCGTAGGGCGAGTATTGGATTTGGCAGGCGTGAATGGGAGCCGTGGCACTTGCTTCTTGACCGGGGTGTACAAATAGCTTGCGCCATCTAGGTATTCAAGCGATGCTCCAGAGCCAATAAACTTCTTAGAAAGAGGCGAGGTATGGCTGCCAAATGTCGTGTCTGCTTCAGCGTATTGATCCACAGCCAGCATTCTTGAGCCCTTTTTGCGAGCTTTGTACACCCATAATTCAAAGAGCGATTTGAGATTGTTCCGTTCCCACTTCTCAACAAACATGTCGCAAGTCTGTTGATTTCGCCTGAAGTTCTTCGTGAATGTGAGGTTCCATTTCCTGAGAATTTCCACCATCTGCGTGTATTCCCGCCTGTTGATGAAATCGTCTGCAATATCCGAAAGATACCTTGCTTTCGTCACAAATTTCTCATACCAAACCAACAAGAACTTCTTGCGCAAAAGGCTCCTGTAAAAATCAACACTTTTATCCATGGCGCTGGTATTTGCCCTACTCATATCAATCCAGTGCATCAAAAACTCGCTCTTCAATATGTTCGTGTTGTTGAAGAAGAGAAGGTTTTTCTCTAGCAAGTCTTTATGCTTCCTCAATTTCCTGTGTTTGTCTCTCCAATGTTTGAAGAAAACTGAGAGTGCTCCCAAATATTTCACCTTCCGTTGGAAATGTGTTAATGCTTGGCGGGCTTCTTCTTCGTACCTTAAAAGATAGACTTCTTGCCATTTTTTCAAGGCAACTTTGATTTGAGTTCTGTCATTAAAGCTGAGCCCTTGTTTCAAGATTTCGGTTGCTGTTGAATTTTGATCACAAACTCGGGAATGTGAACCCCATATCTTGTTGAGAAACTTTCTTTGAAAGTTAAGGTCAGCAACCACTTTCATTTCGAAATTCGTCGCCATTCGCGACTTCCAGAAAGTCATGGCACCACTTGTTGCAAACCTCTCACTCAACAATTCAGCATTGTCTTCATTATCCATGATTTTAGAAAACTTCTTTGTCCACGAATTTAGCACTGTTGTCACTGTCTTCCGATCTGTCTTTCTTATGATTGAAGCACTCTTGTATTTGAGAATCCATTCTTTGAGATATTCCCCTCTAATAATGAGACTGCGCAGCAGATGGAACTCGCATGCGGCTTCTTTGGTCTTCCAGGATTTCCAGTATTTTTTCAAAAGGGTGCACCTCAATGTCTTGTCTGCCAAAAGCTTGGTGCGGGTTTGGTCAAACCAGCAATCAAACGCTGATTGCTTCAATGAGAGTATGCGGTCCTGGGCCACGACAGATTGCATGTTTGATAAATATTTCTTCATTTTCCAGATGCCCAAGAAATGCTTTTTAAGATGCTTGTTCCTGATTTCCTGGAACGTCCTCAGTGCGTTATGGTTAGAGGATCGACTTCTCAAAACACCGATATATTTTGTGAGAAGAAATCTTCGAGACTGCTGATTGAGTAAAACCAATTTTTCAGACACAGTGATATTCTCGAAGCCGCCATTTACCGGTAGAACGTCGAGTTTCAGCTTCCAGTGCTCCCAAACCTTCGATCTGAGAAGCAAATCCAAGCCAGAAGTGATCGAGCCTCCTATGCTAGCTGCAGATTCTTTGAGGCTTTTGACTTGGTCAAATTTGATGCGCCGTGTGCCCAACGATCTAGAGATGCAAATGGAATCAAAGTGAGATTCCAGCGCCAATTCCATCTCGTGCTTGATTTTCAATCTAGTGTTCCAGAGTTTTAGAAACTTGGCCAGTCTAAGTCTCTCCATCTCACCATTCATCTCTATGATATGCAACATAGATTTGATCCATTTTTGATTCAAGTAGTGAGATAGATGTTTCTTCTCGAAATAGCTTTCTGACTCTGACTGTAATCGGTGGAAAGTCACGCTTCTTCGACGCCATGTCAGAAACGCAGAGCGCAAATGTTTTTCCTTGAGCCTTGGCAAACATTCTTCCTCGTAGATTATGTCTAGCTGACTTGCAATTAGAGTTTCTCTATTCCATTTACGGAGACAGGTGCGAGCGAATGATCGTGAGTTGGCAGTTTCTGAAATGGTGAGTCTCATCAAGAGGGTCAGCAGTATCAGAAGGTCCAAAAGCGTATTTTGTATTCCACGGAATTTCATGATAATCTCGCCAATGGCAGGATCTTCGGGATAGTCGTCTACAGCAACGTATTCCACCACCGCAGTTATTGCATCCGCGACACTATCGATGAACAGATAGTCCTCCCAAACGGGCAATTCTGGGAACACCTCATAGGCAAAAAATACATAGTTGCGGAATGCCATGAGCAACGAAGCGTCAAGCTGCGAGTCGAATTCCTTTAAAGTGGAGATCACGGTTTCAAAGTCGGATACGAGCGCCCGCATCTCCGCTTTGGTGAATCTTTGGGACACAGGGAGCAGCGTTTCTTCATGTTGATGACTGCTGGTCTGCGTTCCGGAGAGATTTTTGTCGTAAACTCGTAAAAGAGTGTCCAAGGCATAGTCACGAAGCCTCGGAGGCACAATTCCAGGGACAGCGTCAGACCCACAGAGATAATCTAGTACGCGTTTGTTCACGTCGATGGCTCGCTTAGAGTCAAAAGTCTCTACGCCCGTTTTATGCTTGTAGAACGAAATCATGACGCTCACGTATGGCAAGACATCTTCGTACGATTCCGGGGGCGATTTGTGGGACGCAAGCAGAAGGAAAACCTGGTATATTCTGGAGAGAAATGGATCGGAGCTTTCGAAATCAACGGCTGTAGCCGCCAGTATCAGAGAGTAGTTCGACTGGCCAGGCCCGTTTTGGGATTGTGGGAAAATGTTGGGGAGGGGTGCGGAGGCATGTGCCATTCCATCTATCGCCAGAACCAAGTTGTCAGTATCGGCCTCGTCAACAATACGCTCCAGTCGGAACTTGGTGTGTTTTGACTGGGCCAATTCGGACAAAAAGCAACGGCAAAGATAGTCGCAAAGCTGCTGCTCGGCGCTCTCGTGGGAATGTACAATGGACAGCACCAACCCCAGGAGTTTCGGGACTACAGGCGAGGCCGAAAGGCGCAGAAGATTCCGGGCAGATTGCACGTCATTGGAGTTTTGCAAAAAAGTCTGGATTTGTGAGATCCGGGCGGCGTATGAAGCGCTCGGCTGTTTGCTCTCGGGGCCTGGTCCATGTTCAATGAACCGGAGAATACTGGCGTCTGTAAGGTCTTCGGTTTGGCCAGAAAGCCCCCAGGTTTCAGACCACATGTGGAGCCGTAGCTCTGGGAGTCTTTCACACCAGATCTGGAGGACGTGGCACCCGCCTGGCGGCTGGAGGAGCAAGGTCATTTGGGTCCATGTTTGGCGTAGTATGTGGTCAAACTGCGCAAGGTCATTCCCGGTTGCCTCGTGGAGAACGTGGAGATTCTCCACGATTTTCTGGATGCTGGAGACGGCAGCACTCATTTCATGATCCAAAGGCTCGGCTCGGGTGGATATGCGAGTAGACAGACGAGGGCCGAGGTTCCCCAGATTTCATGGTTCATCAGTGTTGATCACCGCGAACGCGGCCCTAGAACGCGCGCGCACCTAGGGCCTGAATTGGGCCCGGGTCCAGGTCCACACCAGGAACGGAACGAGGGAGGTGTCACGCCACACGTTTGAAAATATAGTCTGGAAAAAAGCCAAGGGTGAGATTTTATCGGTGGGCCTCTGTACTTTGATTTTTGGGCGGGCGTGGATTTATTTTTCTCAAAGCAGAGGGGTTTGTGCTTTTAGAACAGAGGGGCCTGTGAACCATGGAAATGCTCCCGGGCCTGCCAGGCGCGCCAGTGCTTCCTGTGCCAATCCACTGGTTTTGTATAGAGATTGTCCTGAGGTCAAAAAGGAGGGAATGGGCACCTGAGGTTTCGTCTGCCTGCGTATCTGTTCTTGCCTGATTTATTGATTACTTCTTTATGGAAAAACCGGGAAAGCACACAGCCTGTTCAGCGCTGGTTCAGGGCAGGCAGAGAGCAAAAGGCATGTCCAAAGACAATCCGGGGCCAGCAGGAACGCGCGTTTTTAATTAATATCATCAATATACGCTAGACGGCCAGCAGGCCGCTTGCACACGTAGAGAGCTGTTGTCGACACTCGAAACGGGAGTTGCCAGCCTGAAGAAAGGATATGGAGTAGTGTGTAGAAATACGCTCTATAGGCGAACAGGCGCGTCATACTGCCTGGCGCTTGGGGCTTGACTAAGGCCTGCTTGATTGCCATTTGGCCCTTGGCTGCATTGTTCCTGATGGCACGAATTTTATCCGCTCAAGGGTCCAATGCACGTCTTGAAGTTTCCCACCAATGCACGTCTTGAAGTTTCCCCCAGAAGCCGTGAAACTGACTTCTGAATTCTAGACTCTCATGAAAATGGACACCCCCAAGCCTCGGTCCTCTGATTTCTCGGTGATTCTTGCAGGGCCAATTCTCGCCTGTCGGCTGCAAAAATATCCCTGGCTTTCAATGCAAAAATCTTTTTGGGTCATGCAGAGGCGGAACTTGCCATGTGAAGAATCTGGCAGGATGTTCCCAAGATTGGCGGGGATGCATTGCGCAGGTGCGTGGCCGGTATTGCTGGGACGCGTTGTTAATGGGTGCAAAATCTTGGTCCTGGCCATGACACGCCACCAAAACCTATGGCAAACACGAAACTTCCTTGCGGGTGACTTGGTGGTGTGAGCTGAGCTTCATAGCAACGTCAATATTTCTTTGGGCCTGGCTCCGAAAGCTGGTCCCGGCTCCCCGTGGATATGGCACCGAGCTCAGTCAGGATTCCCCGAGCTTTGGAAGTTTCTGAACGGCTGCCGCTCCATATTTAAAAATAGGAGAAGTTTTAGAGGTGTGATGGATGGGGTGTAATGGATGGGAGGGGTGGCTGGACCCATTCTACTGCCCAAGAGCCCAAGCCCAATGGTGAAACCTACGAGAGGAATGCTCACGGCCAAACATTGGCATGCCACTGCCAGCGCACGACGGTTCTCGAACCATAGGAGTGCCGATGAAATGTTTTTTTTTTGTATTTGGGAGGCATGCAACAGAGAACGTGGCACTGTGAAAGAGTCCAGTCGGACATCAGGCCTGGGGGACGATGCAAGCACATTTCCAAACCCCAAAAAAATCCCGAAAAAATACAAGCACATATAAAAGAATGAAACAGCCGGGAAATCCAGAAATCGATGCAGGCACATTTACAAACCCCGAAACAACGGAGGAGCCCAGAAGACATACAAGCACATTCAGAAAATGAAACAACTGGGGAATTCAGAAAGCACCGAATTGCATGTCAAATAATGCAACAGCCGGGATTCAGAAACCATACAAGTACATTCAAAAGAATAAAACAACCGGGCATTTCGAAAACAAACAAACACATTCAAGAGAATGAAACAACCAAGACCGATACAAGCACATCTAAAAAGATGAAGCAACCGGGGAGTCAGAAAAGGATGCAATTGCATCCATGAAAATAAAACAACCGGGAAATTCAAAAACATAAAAGCACATTTGAAAGAAAATAAAACAATACAAGCACAAGCGAAAGAACAAAACAACTGGGGATTCAGAAACATGCAAGCACATTAGAACAAAAATGAAGAATTCGGAAACATACAAGCACATTCAAAGAAAAACCCGGAAGCTCAGAAACATACAAGCACATTGAAAGAAAATAAAATCGGGGAATTTATGCAAGCACATGCAAAAAAATAAGATAGCAGGGGAATCAGAAACATGAAGCCACATTCAAAAAGTGAAAACGGGGAATTCAGAAACATACAACCACATTCAAAACATAAACGAGAATTCAGAAACATACAACTACATTAGAAGAAAAAAGAAAGATGAAATTCAGAAACATACAACCACATTCAAGACAAAAACGAGAATTCAGAAACATACAACCACATTCAAAACATAAACGAGAATTCAGAAACATACAACTACATTAGAAGAAAAAAGAAAGATGAAATTCAGAAACATACAACCACATTCAAGAAATAAACGAGAATTCAGAAACATACAACCACATTCAAGAAAAAACAGAGAAACCCAGAAACATACAACCACAAAAAATGAAACGGGGTAAGCTGGAGGATGGACTGGCATGGAGGGCCTCGTCGCGGCAGGAACCGAGGGACCCGCGCCTTGGACCGCACCCCCCCTCTACTCCTGGCGCCAGATTGATACTTGATACTACATTTACATGGAGACAACAACGGGAACCCACAAAGCCCTGCCCCCTACCCGCTCCAACGCCGCTCGAAAAGAAGCTCTAAGCAACGCACGACAAACGAAAGCAATCACCCAAAGAAAGCTCAAAACGTTGGAAAAAAACAAAAAAGATTCACCCAAACCCGCCCAAAAAACACAGCTGCGCACAAGCCGGTTTTGGGCCTGGTCGCGCCGCCCCGTCTTTGGGCCTGCCTGCCCGGTGTGCGCGCGTCCCCAGGCCTCAGGCCCCAGGCCCCAGGGCCTAAAACAGCCCCCGCCACCAGGCATCAGGCGCGCTCCGCGCTCGCCATAAAACACCCTGGCCACCCCCCAACAGCTCCATACCCCCCAACCCCACACCCGCCCACACCCGCCCACAGCCTCCCCCCGGCCCCCTTTGTGGATGTACCCCCCTGGCACACGCAGCTCTGCCACGGACGGCGCCCGGTCCGTCCGCATGCCGTCTGACCCCGCCGCCTTCCCCACGCCTGCCAGGGCCCCGCAGGAGCCCCAGGCCCGCGTGGTCTCGGACGATTTGGTGCACCGCCACACACGCCCCCACCCCCCGGCCGTGCCCCGCCTGGACAGCAGCCCCGGCGGGCTTGTGCCGCCGCCGCCGCCGGCGGCTTTTCCGGTGCGGGCGGGCCCCTGGAGCCCGTGCGGCCCCGGCCCTTCTGACGCCGCGCCGCCGGGCGCTGGCGGCGGCAACATCTCGCGCCCCGGCGGCCCTCCCGGTGGGCTGGTGCCGCCACGGTCCGCGTCCGGCCCCGCCGCCGGTCCGCGGGCGGTTTTTGTGCCTGCAAGGCGCGAGTCCGGGCCCACACTGCCGCCCACAACCACCACCCTTCCACGCAGCTCCAGCTCCCCCAAACGGCAGCCCCCGGCAGCCCGGCGCCACAGCAGCTGTCCCTCCGGCGGCCCGCAGAGCCCGGGGCTGGCCCCGGGCGGCGGCGCCCAAACCGTGCCGTCGAGGTCCGCGCTGCCGGCCGCGGCCACGCTGTTCAGTTTCTCCGAGGCCGACGACTCCGTGCTCCGGGTGTCGCCCGCGCGGGCACAGTTCGTGGCCCGCGGCCCGCAGGGCCCACATGCGCCTGGGCAGGCCAGCGCGAGCTCCCTGGGCCCCGCCGGGTCGCACTTTGACATGCCCAGCAGCTCCTCCGCGTCCACGTCCAGCGTGCGGTCCGCGGCCGCCGAGACCATAGTGTCCATGCCGCCGGCCGCCGGCTCCGAGGCCCTGCCGCTGCCGCTGCCGCCGCCGCTGCTCGCCAGCTCCACCAGCCACGCCGCCACGAGTCTCATCATCGACTCGTACACCCCGGGCCTCGGCGAGCCGCGTGCGCCCGAGGCCAGGACCCACCCGCTCACGGCCACGGCGCCGTTCATCAACGTGCTGGAGGGCGGCCCGGGGCCGGGCCGGCAGCCGTCGCACGACCGGCACGACTCGCAGTCGTCCGCCGTGTCGCTGGCCTCCAGCTCCACGCTCACCTCGGCGTACAGCCACCAGCAGCGCTTCGTGCGCTACGTCATGAGCACGCACGCGGACGCCGCGGGCTCGCTGGGCCGCTGGAGCATGGACAACGTGCTCGCGTGGCTCGACGGCCACGGCTTCTCCGACAGCTGGAAGGAGACGTTCCGCCGCAACGAGATCTCGGGCAACCGCTTCCTCGAGTTGGGCAACTACGCGGCCGCGTCTGCCGTGTGGCGCCAGTTGAGTCTCCCGCTCGGCGCGCACGGCGACCCGGCCACCGTCGACCGCTTCATTGGCTTGTTGGGGGCCGAGACCCACATGCTCGCCGCCGCGCCGCCGCCGCTCGCGCCGTCGCTCCTCGACATCGACCTGCTCGCCAAGCTCGAGAATCGCAAGTCCTCCTCCACACTCTGGGCCCAGGGCTCTCCCTCTGTGCCGACGAAACAGCGGCCGTTCTCGTACGTCGACCCGGGCAACTGCAAGCCCGCCAAGGAGCACACCAAGTTCTTCCGCAAGCACACGCGCTTGCTGTCCAACGAGAACGCCCTGGGCGCCCCGGCGCCTTTGACGGGGGGTAAGCCCGCGAGCGAGGCTTCCCTGGGGCTGAGCAACCTCGGGTTCAAGAAGAGCGGCATCTTGAGTACGTTGCGCAAATACGGCGGCGAGAAGGCCGCGGGCATCGTGAAACAGGTCCAGTCCAACCCTGCTCCAGGCAAGTTTCTGGCCCACAACAAACCATCGGCCCAGAACAAGCACCCGTCCCACAAAAGAATCAGCAGCGGGTTTCTGGGCGTTTTGCAAAAGAAATACGAGCAGGCACTAAAGCCCGACGATCAGAGGCTTGACTCCCCGGGATCGCTGTGCACTTTTCGCGATAACACAGCCAAGTCGCCCAGCTCAGTGCGCAGCTTCAATGTTCCACACTTTGACGAAAGCGCTGGCGCACCGGTGTCAGCCAGCTCAAAAAGTGCCTCCAGGCCCCTCCTAGAGGACGTCGTCAGCTCTGAGTTTCTACCCCAGCCCAACGAACACACCGATGAAATCGCCTTCACTCTTTTGCTCACCCGCGACAATCACTCATTCGTCCCGTTCTCGGTCCACACAGAGCTCCTAGGTGATCTCGCCACCCTAAAGAAATCACTCATCCTGAGGCTAGGCATGCTCGACATCGGCACCGTCACGTTTCATTTGACCGATTTTGATGCCGATTGCGGTGCCGCCATGCCTGACGATGTCCTACTCTTGGCCTTGCAGCACGGCTTGGTATCGAAGCTAAAGCTCGAGCAAAACTTCCGGTCTCCAGACAGAATCGGGACTTTCTCCAGCACCTCCTCCGACTCCAAGTCCTTCGATGCTTCTGGCGGCAAATTCTACCCGGCAACTCCACAATATTTGCTTCAACACTCGACCGACAAAGCTGTCGATTACATGAATTTCAAGGACGCGAGCAAACCGCGCGTTTCGTCGAAAGACTATGATCTTCCCTCGTTGCCTCTGGTCGGGTCGCTGGAGCGTGTTCCCAGTGGGTCATTCCCAATTAACTTATCATTACCCCAACTGAGAAGATTACAGCAAAACAACGCAGTAAATGCAAAACTGAACAAACGGGGACTTGCCCTCAACACTTTGCAGCCACCAATTTCAGCAGGCTCAGCTCCCGAATTCGACCTGCTATCTACAAGAGATTCACTTACAGAATCAACGCCGTCCTCGGGATCCTCCTTTACGATCGTTCGTAAGAAAGGCAGGGAAATCGATTTTGACAAGAGAAGGTTGAATTCAAACGAAAGTAAAGCCCCGCGCCTAATCCCAAACATATACTCTTCTTCCGTGACCGACGCTGCGATATCACCTATTTCTGCATCTACCATCCATGCTTTGGAAGATGAGAAAACATCTTCTTCCACAGGAAGGCTCAGGTCAGATACTCAAGCGTCACGCAATTTTTCTTCCGGACTAGAGCTAGAGAAGGGTGCAAGCTTTGTCGCTCGCAGAAAAGCTCCGCCTCCACCCACAGCGTCAAATTCTTTGAAAGTGAAAGAGAGGAGAGGTACAAAGAGCTTTAGTGTTCTGTCGGGCTCGAGTCGTTCGGAGTACTATCATCTATCCAATGAAAGCATCGACTCATTCCGCAGCTCGCATGTCGGCGTGTCGAGTCTCCATGGTACCACTAAGCAGTTTGATTTCAGTGATGCGCCTAGTCTTGATTTGCCACAGCATGGCGGAGGTTTCGGCGATGACAGTGATGACGATGACGATAATGATGTGTTCTTCAAACCACTCAAGCCGAAGAACCCAATTCTGACAAATGAGAATACAAATCACAAACACTTGCCTCCAAAGTTAGGAAGCAATGATTTGGTGCCTGACATTGATACAATCGCCATGCGGCCCTCGGTTGACGAGGTTTACGACAATCTCGAAAAGTATTTTCCGAATACCATTTTGGACAAGCCGATAATCGATGCTTATCCTGAATCGCCAAACATTGTTTCAACCGATAGTGCCGTTATGAATCTTTTACCCAAAAACCCGCCCATCTCAAGAACGTTCTCAAATGCCAACATTTCTCCTGTCCATCCGGAAAAAGAATCTGACGATCAAGTCTTCTACGGAGACGGTCCTCTTCTACGCCGTCGTATGAAAACCATCCGAGTTGTGGCCTATGAGGCACATCGCAAACGTTTGGCCAGCCAGAAGGCGGTGAAAGAATCTGTGGTCACAAGGCCAGCACGAAAACAGCATGCGCCAACTGGTGCACTTACGAGAACAAATACTAAATTATGGGGTCAGAAAGTTGTTGAGGTTACTTCTGATAATATTGAAAAGGGATTCGTGGGTAGGATTCGGAAGGTAGCCAATAGGCCCTATGAAGAGTTTGCCTGGGTAAAAGGTGAGCTCATTGGCCGAGGTTCTTTCGGGTCTGTTTTCCTAGCTCTTAATGTGACGACAGGTGAAATGCTAGCAGTGAAACAGGTCAATGTTAGTGACAGTACAAAGTCCAACTCTGATGGCATAGACGCTTTCCACAAGGAGGTGGAAACCATGAAGGACTTGGATCACCTCAATATCGTGCAGTATTTGGGTTTTGAACAGAGCAAAAAAACCTATAGTTTATTCTTGGAGTACGTTGCCGGTGGATCTGTTTCTTCTTGCCTCAAATCGTACGGGAAATTCGATGAGCCATTGGTGAAGTTCATCACCAGACAAGTGCTTGAAGGCTTGAAGTATCTCCATGAGAACGGAATTCTACACCGAGATTTGAAGGCAGACAATCTTCTCCTCGAAATAGATGGTGTGTGCAAGATTTCGGATTTTGGTATATCAAAGAGGTCGCAAGATATCTATAGCAACAATGCGGAGATGTCGATGCAAGGCACCGTGTTCTGGATGGCGCCAGAAGTAATTCATAGCATGGTTGAGGAAAAGAAACAGGGTTACAGCGCCAAGGTCGATATCTGGTCTCTTGGATGCGTGATGCTAGAGATGTTTGCGGGACAGCGGCCCTGGTCAAATGAAGCGGTGGTTAGTGCAATCTACAAGCTTGGAAAGACCAAGCTAGCGCCTCCAATACCTGTGGATGTGAGTAAGGAAGCGAAAGATTTCCTCAACAAATGTTTCACCATCGATACGGAAAAACGCCCGACCGCCGCCAAGTTGTTGAACCATGAGTTCATGAGACCCGACAGCAGCTTCCACTTCAGCCAGACAAGGCTCAGTGAAATCATCAAGAGCAACTCGACTAAGAACATGATCAAGAGACATTAGGTCATCTTGCATTGCCCATTGTTGAGTGGATGAATATCAAATCTAGGCCCAGGCCCAGGTCCTCATTCAGGATCTATGGGTGACTATATGTTGGTTCTGCGTGCATCGTCCTCTCAAACAAAAGAAAGTTTCAAATAATGTACATTAGCTATTTACAGTTCTAGTTCAACTTCAACTCGTTGATGACCAAATGAGTTTGGTAAGGCTCGACGTCAAGGGTCTTGAGTCTTCTGCATCTGGGCTTCTTCTTATACACGTGGTAGAGCGGCTCCCTCGTGATCTCCGTCAAGGTGGCAGTCAAGGAAAAGGCGCTTTCGGGTATGCCTTTGTCGTTGTTGAAGGTGAAGTTTCTCGAGCCGATGGTGACCACGCGGTCGAGCTTCAAAACATCGCCCACGTTGTGGTTTCTGATCTTGTACGGCAAAATGAGTCTGTCGCCTTTGGTCACCAAGTACGGCATGTTGTGGATTTTGCAAATGGCGTACAAGTCTTTACATCCGTTGGAATCGAATTTTAATGCCCTCAAATCAGGCACAGCCGTCATAGCTGCACCTGCGGCAGGCGCAGCTGGCGTAGCAGTGGCCGTTCTTAGCGGGGCAGAATTTGAGAGGTGGCGAGCACCACGCATGAAAGCAGACTTGAACATATTGGCCAGGCTACAGTTGTCTCAGCTAACCGAGGCAAGAGTTCTGGCTGAAGAAATTTCGGACCGGTTGCGTGTCCTGCACCGGGGCGGCCCGCGGTCGCAGTTGTTGGCTGGGTCTCACCGGTCCTGAGGCCGAAGGAAGTCTTTGAGCGTTGGTTTTTGGGGGTCTCGAGTGATGGGCTTTTGGATTCCAAACAGATGCTGTGGAAATGTGGGTTCGGGTGGAGACGGTAAAGCACGCTGCTGTAGAGGTGTATTAGCGAACATGCATGGAGCCAGTGGCCCCGGGCTTGTGTATATTTGCCTTATTCAACCTTGTTTACTTGCCGCGGACTAAAACCGCGTTTGCTCGCCGTGAGTCGAATTGTGTTTTTTTTTTTTATTATTGGCCTCGAGCTGTCAGTTTGTGTTTGATACAGCTATGGTCCAGCTGTTTTGGGGGCTTGCAGTCAGCAACGCCTATTGGTGCGCGGTGCCCTGAACTTGAACTTTAATTTCGCACCCCCCGAACTGATAAACCCGAATATTAGGCTGGAGCCGTTCCGTCCGAGTGGCCGTCAAAAATCCAAAACCGGCCCGAAACCCCTCGAAACACACCAAAAGCATTGCCCGGCGGGCCCGGAACACACCCCGCCGCCGCGGACCAAAAACTGCCGCCCAGCCTTGTCTAGGGCCACACGCTGGATTTCGCATGGCAAAGAACAGGCCCCATGCGGCGCGCCCAGCATGGCCTCACGTCATGTGACCGCCGCCCCGCCAAACAACGTCCGTTCGCCGCAGAAATTTGGCTCGTCGTCCATAAGGCCGTTCGGGCCCAGCAGCCCCGCTCCCCCCGGGCCGTTTTTCCATTCCCGGGTTTTCTAGTGGGTGTGGCTTGCGGCGCCAGGCACCCGATATTAGGGCAGGCCAGCTTCGTGCCGCGCCAAAAAAAAAAAAACTCCGCGCCCGCTCGACGCACTAGGCCGGTCCGGTATGCTTCGCCCAACCAGACCACGAAGAACGACTCCCAGAAGCTGAACGGCGAAAGGCATCTCCACCACCCCAGGAAATCCACCCCCCGGACCCGAGGCCAACGCACACCACGTGACCACTCCCCGGGCGTCTTTTCCTTTTCCTGAAACCCCCGGTGCGGACTCCGAACGCCAGTTCTTTTTATTCCCCGTCGAGCGGAAAGCAATCTACTCCTGCGGCCCCTCTGACCGTGGCACCCCGCCTGGAACCCCCGCCTTTTCGTCGGCGCTCCAGCAAACCTGTCGCTGCTGCCATTTCTGCCTGTCCAAAAATAGCAACAGCTTTCCCGTTTTCCCATCTGTACGGCGCCACCCTCTGCTTTCTAGCCTTCGCGATCGCTACTCTATCTGCTGACATTTGTATTGCATTTGCCCCATCCAGATTTTGGGACCAAGCCATCCCGACCAGCCCAGGAACGATCCGCGCAGCCTCTTCGGGAGCCTTCTGCCCACTACCCTCATCCACCACCGGCAATAGTACACCATGGCCACGTCGTTCTGGAAGCTAAATAACGGCTTCACGTCGTTGTCCAACGTCTCAACGATTCTCGAGAACCACACCGTCTCGGACGCGAAAACACCCGTCTTGGCCGCGGAGACCCTCGTCAAGCTCTTGGACGAGAGCGACTTGCTCCAGGAATTGATGTCCAACAACACGTCCTTGCTAGAGTTCTTGAGGGACGATACCGTCATCAATTTGCTCGTGGACTTGTTGATTCTGGAAAGCTTGACCGGCGACGAGCTCGAGGAGAGCTTGCTCAGGCTCAACTTGAACGAAAAACCGGTCTCCGGAGCCAAAGAACTGCCCGAGTCTGAGCCTGGCTCGGACAAGGAGCAGGAAGACCCTGCAAGCGGCTCTCTGGAAACAGGCAGCGACAACGAAATGCCGCACTCGAATCTCCACGAGGACCCCGCGGACCCTGACGACGACGACGACGACAACGACGAGCACAACGAGACTTTTGACGAGCGGAGAACCAGGTACGCCACGTTGGCGGCCGAGATTCTCAGTGCAGACGTGTGGTCGCTCACAGACACTGTGATGGAGTCGACGAAGAACCTCAACAAGTTGTGGTCCATTCTCGACTTCAGTCCTCCGTTGTCAATCAACTTGGCCACGTATTTCATGAAGATCATGGAGCACTTGTTAGACATGAAGTGCGAGGAGATGATCACGTATCTCATCGAGAACCAGCCAAACTTGGTGCAGAAGTTCACGCGCCACTTGGCGAACCCGCCGCTCATGGACTTCTTGTTGAAACTCATTTCCACCGACAAGCCCGACAACTCGACAGGAATCATTGATTTTCTCCAGGACCAGAACTTGATCCCCAGCCTCGTCCACGCCCTAGAGTCTGCGCCTGGTCTTTCGCCTGCGGAACTTGATGAGCAGTTGGCCAGACAGTCGTCGGCCGCTGATTTCTTGAAGGCTCTCATAACTATCTCTGCCAACTCGACCACCGACAACTCCACCATTGGCCCCAACGAATTGACCCGAGAGTTGGTCTCCCACGACATGATGGCCAAACTATGTGACATCATGCTACAGGGCGGCTACGCGTTGGGCAATGGCGTGGGTATCATCATCGAGATAATCAGAAAGAACAACTCTGACTACGACATTCTTCCTGTGTTGTACATAACTCTCGAAAGCCACCCACCCACAGGCCGTGATCCCATATACTTGGGCCATTTGCTCCTGGTTTTCGGCAGCAGAATAGGTGACTTCAACAACTTGTTGATGCATGCCAATGAAAACAACAAGTTGAAAACAACGTTTGGCGAGATCGAGCCTCTTGGGTTCGAAAGATTCAAGATCTGCGAACTCATTGCGGAGCTCCTACACTGTTCAAACATGGCCCTTCTAAATGACAACAAGGGCTTTGACGTGGTCAGAGTAAGAGATGACCTCAGAAAGAAGTTGAAAGAGCTAGACCCCGTGGGTTTCAAGTACAATGAGGCTATAGAAATACCTGCTGAAGTTTTGCAACCCAGTCTTGATGCAGAACAGGAAATTGTAAAAAAGTTCGAACACGAAACAAAACGCCGCTCCCGCGACGAGGACGCAGACTATAACGACACAATTGACTCTTTTAACGAAAATTTGCACGAAAACTCTCCGAACTTTCATAGTGGTGGAGAGGATGAAGAGGAAGAGGTTCATGCTAACGCAAACTTGACCGAAGAGCAAATGAGACATAACCATGTCGTGGGCGACTTTTTGAAGATTGCATTATATGATACGCAGATCATTTCGAACATTTTGTCGATGTTCTTCAACTTTCCGTGGAACAACTTTCTCCACAACGTTGTTTTCGATATTGTTCAACAGGTTTTGAACGGCTCTATGGATATCGGCTTCAACAAGTTCTTGGCAATTGACATTTTTCATTCCGGCGAGATCACAGTCCGGATTACAGAGGGGCAGAAGCTTTGCAATGATTACGAGGAGTCAAACGGTGGCTTGAGATTAGGTTATATGGGCCACTTGACCTTGATCGCAGAAGAGGTCGTGAAGTTCATTCAGCTTTATCCCGCGAGTACTGTAAGTCAACTCATTGACGAGAAAACTGAGAATGAAATTTGGGAAGAATATGTCAGCCATGTTTTGTACGATACCAGAAAGAAGTACAACGCCATATTAGGTGGCAGTGATGTGGACGAGGAAGAAGGTTCGAATACCTTCGATGAAAGCGGTGGCGACTTGATTGAAGATGGCGACCTTGATTCAGGATTGCGCCTTCATCCAAACCTCGATCACGATCTCATTGGTAGTGGATACGAGGACCAGGATAAAGAAGAAGAGTTCACGGAAGACATCGACGTGGTGGACGAACCTAAGAAGAGCAACAAGTTTACCTCCAGCGATGATTCCGAGTCGGAGGAAGAAGAAGAAGAAGATCACTTTGCAAGTTACATGTCACTGCAGCTTGCAAACTCAGGCTCAAGCGGCTTCATGACCTCCTTGAAAAACAAGGCCAAGGAATTTAGTGAAAACGAAGGTGACAACGAACCCGAGACAAAAAACTTTATGCCTTTGAAAGATGATGACGGAGATGACTACATTGACCCCAACGATGATGGTCTTTCTTACAAAAAGCCTCATTCTTTATACGATGCGCGAGGCATGCTTGTGACAGACCAAAGACAAAGCTATCACAGAAACGACGGGCTACTGAGTGAGGAGTCTAGCAGTTCATCGGATAGTGACGAGGAAGACCTTGGTGATGATCTTGTCGACGAGCTGAAAGAAAACAAATTGACTAGATCAGCCAGCAAAGGGTCTTAAACTAGAGAAAAACGCCCAGTCAGGCGGCCCGGCTGCAGGTAGAATGCAAGAAACGGTTTTAATTAAATTACACTCTGTAATGGCCCTAAGAAAACGGGTGCGGATACGAGACTATGCTAATGATGCTTATTCCTCTTGAATGACATAATATAAATGATACATATACACGTACTTTCCTACAGCAGCACCGCGAAGCGTGTTCTGATCACGCGGATAGCTTTTCGGCAACTCTTCTTCCCTCGCGTTCCAAAGGCGGTAGATGAGACACAAGCGTCTCCATGGCATTCCCGCTCTCTTCTTTCTCCGCGTTCTTTTGAAGCACTCCGCCAATGAGGCCCTTGCTCATAGCAAATCCAGAGGATCTGTCAGAAATTTTGCTGTTATAGAATTCATCCATAATCGGGTGCATGAGTACAGTATTGTTTTTGGTGATAGAAATGACCGTGTTCGAAGGCACGCAAGTCCAGTCACCCCGCTCGAAAGTGAGGGGCTCGCTGGCCACGAAGATCACATCCTGCGAGCGATTAAGACGCTCCATTTTGAACAAGCCCGGCTCGTACTCAAAAAACCGTGATCCCGTGGAAAAATGCAAAGAGGCAGCCTCGTCGGTTTTTGATGTGATGTACCGAGAGACCACTACTGAGTCTCCATCTGTGACTGCAAAGTTCATCAATGAGGGCTCCGAAGTGAGCTCCACCTGCCAGTTTTTAATGAGCTCAATCATACTTAGAAGTGCCTCACGGAGGATTTTGTGAGAAAACTCGACTTTAGCATCGTCCGGGTCGTATCCCATTTTGTAGAGAGTATCCAAGAATAGGGCACAGCAACACTCGCTATCTGTAGAACCTTGAATGAAGAGAAAAAACCGGTCGTCCAAATGCATAACTAGCTTCCGCTTGATTTTGTCAAAAGCCAGAATGCCTCCATTGTGCATGAAGAGAATTCTGCCATATTGGAATGGATGGCAGTTTGTCTCTGCCAAAACGCCTTGAGTCGATGCCCTTACATGGGCGAATACAAGTCCCGATTCCGTACAGTTTGATAAAGAATTGAGATTCACATTGTTCCACGCAGGGGTGATGGCACGAAAGACACATGCGTCTTTCTTTTCACTATAGTAGCCTATACCAAACCCATCACCATTGATTGGGTTGCGCATATCTAGTCTGAGCCTAGAATCAAACAGCTGGTTGATGATTGAGTGTGCGGGCCGTGTGAGAAGGTCCGAGAGCATCATGCGCCGCTTACCTTTGTAGATCATGAAACGGCACATTTTTAAAATCCGATCTGTAGGACTACTTTTTTTTTCGTTTGTGAAAAGCGAATCTCGCCTGCTTGGTTGAGTCATGAATAGCACGGTGCGGCCGATAAGACAGTGCACGTGACACCGCATCACCTTTACCCCAGATTTATTCATCCGGCAGTCATAAGTCTTCTTGGTAGTGTCAGATTGTGTACGTCGTCTGACACGGGAAATATAATGATTTGGGAAAAGAGAGTTTGTTTCTTACTATCAAGTATGTGACGCAGCGCTTTGGATTTAGGGCCAGGCGCTTCGACACCTACTTATTGCGCAAATCTTAGTGCTGCTCATTCAACGTTCCATCTTTAGAGTGCTTTCAAACGGTCATCAGAACAAACACAGCAGCAGGTCGAGCAACATGCATTGGCAGACTCTGTATCTTATTTTTGATGTACCCGCCAGTAGCGGAATGTCCCCTATAAACTCTATATCCAAGTGGACTATGCTTGTGCGTCTTGATACCCCGAACACCGCTTCTATAAGACCAAAGTCACCTCCCGAAAATGCGATTGACTTGCATCAACAGCCTGCCTGTGGCAAACAAGATGGTGAAAATAGCGAGGGTGACGTTGAGCACTATCAAAAGAAGGGCGCTCAACATGAAGCGAGGAGCAAAAACCTTCCACACCATCAAGTGTCTTCTGAAAATCGCAGCGAAAAGGAAGCTCATGATGCTCGTGAGGATTTGATACGTGAGCACCGTGGTAACGTTTGTGACCACTTGGGAGAGCATTGTTATGGGCTTTGCAGATGGCGGGATTTTCCACAATGTGATGAGTGGCACCGCCGAGCAAACAATCAAGAAAGAACCGAAGGTGTTGAGGAAGATGTTCAAGTGGGTGAAGGGGAAGAATATTGTTTCTGTGGTCATGAAGCCAATGTCCCATTGGATTGACGGGATGGTGGCCTGGTGCCCTGTGCTGAAGAAATGCTGATAGCCGAGCAAGCTGAAAACCACAGGGGCGATCAAGTTGCGTCGGAGCTCAAGAAGGTCGTATAGCTCGAGAAGCGTGAGGATCTGAACCACCAAGATGCAGATGGAAAGTGCCCCCACGGGCTTTGTCACCAAAAGCACTGCTACGGCCAAGTTGAGCACAAGCAAGAAGTAAGACGAGCCATACACGTTGCCGTAGCCCAAGATGGTCGCGGATGGCTGCCTTGGTGGTGCCGGGCCACGCTGAACAGGGGAGGAGGCGGTTGTGGACGCGTCCGCGGTGCGAGGCGGCAAGTCGGGGCCCGTTGTTATTGTTGTTGTTGTTGCCGGAGAGAGCTCTATTTTGACGCAGAGCGGGCCTCGGGACCAGCTGAAGTTAGCCAACACAAGGGACGAAAATAGCACGATGCGCGCGATAGCCAACTTGAAGGACTTGACGAGCCCGAGGTCGAAGGAGGTGCCCCAGTATGCCGCGACCACGGAGTCGGTCTCGATTAGGTCCAAGGTCCAGTAGACCGCATTCATGAGCATCATGAGGCTCAAGCCGGACTCGATCCACAACGGGGCCGCCGAGTGGTAGGAGGCCAGGAGGTTGTAGAAGGACTTGACGACTTTCGGGAGGATGAGCGCGGCCACGTAGAGCAAGCCCACGCTCCAGCGGGAGGGGGCGAACGAAGGCGTGCAGTAGGGCATCTGCTCCTCGCGACACAAGTTGATGGAGGCGACGACGCGCGAGAGCACGAGGAAGGTGATGGCGTGGGCGATGCCCAAGATCTTCTGGCGGGGCGGCGCGGGGGAGACGCACACGGCGACCAAGCAGCAGGCGCCGAACGTGGAGAGGAACCAGTTGACCATTCTGTCCTCCCAGACGACGAAGGAGTTGGACGCGAAGATGGCGCAGTGGAGCGCGACGAACACCAAGCAGATGAGCGACCACATGTTGAAGTTGTAGACGAAGAAGTCGACGAGCAGGTGGGCGAGCCACAGCACGCTGAAGCGGTCCATGATGGGCGCCCAGAAGCCGACGGTGATGCCCGCGGCCGTGCCGGCGAGGAGGCAGGTCTTGAGGCCGAGCAGCGCGGGCCGCAACACGACGTAGACGGACAGGCTCAAGACCACGCCCAAGAGCGACATGGCCACGATGGAGCCGATGAACTCGAAGGACATGGTCAGCACGCGCACGGACGGGATGGAGCGCGAGTACGTGGTGACCACCGAGAGCGCAAGCACCAACACGGCGATGCCCAAGGCGATCTGCACCATGTCGAAGCGCGCCCAGAGGCCCTTGCAGTGGTCCAAGAACGCGCGCTGGCGGGCGTGGGCGTCGGCCACATAGGCCGAGGATGAGGCCGTGGCCGGGGCCGGGCCGAAGTGGCCCGCGGCGGTCTGGACCTCGCGCGAGTGGGCCTCGAAGCGCGCGAGCTGGAGCATGGTGCAGCGCACGGCCTGCTCGTAGAGCTCGTCGGACGCAAAGGCCTCGCGGATCGGGAAGCCGAGGTTGTTGAACGGCACCGGCAAGCCGAGCAAGAGCAGGAGCGTGGGCACCAAGTCGATCTGGTCCACGGCGCGGTGCGCGGCGCCCAAGTCCGCGGTGGCGTACGCGGGCGCGGCGGCCGGCGAGAACGGCGGCGGCGTGCGCTTGGAGTAGAGGAAGAGCGTGGCGTCGAGCTCGTCGCGGCTGTCGCCGCCGTGGTTGCCCGTGCGGTCCATGCCGTGGTCGCCCAAGACCACGAGCAAGGTGTCGTCGTCGATGCTGGCCGCGGTGTCGGCGATGACCTGGTTCATCTGGCGGAGCTTGGCGGCCATGGCCGGGTGGCTGGGCCCGTGGCGGTGGCCCGCGTGGTCCACGCCCAAGAAGTGGGCGATGAGCACGTCCCAGGCGCGCGCCGCGCGCGGCTCGAGGAGCGGCGCCAAGTGGCGGAGCACGCCGTCGTCCACGGAGTGCAAGTCCCACACGTTGAGCGAGTCGTAGGGGAAGGCGAGGCGCGGCGCGAAGCACGCGCCGAACATCGCGGCCCAGGTGTCGTCGCCCATGAACGCCACGCGGCGCCCGCGGCGCAGCAACTGCTGCACCCAGTTGTCCTCGGCGACCGCGTCGCCCTGGAAGTTGGAGCCCGCGTCGATGAACGTGGGCAACAGCCCGGTGGTCAAGCCCTTGAGCCGCTGGAGCGTGGTGGTGGGCGGGTCCGCCACGAACTTGAGGAGCACCGCGTGGCGCGGCTGCGCCTGCGTGAGCTCGTGGAGCACCGGCAAGTGGTTGTGGAAGTGTGCGTTGTGCCGGGCGTGCGCCGGGTCCACGGGCACGGCGAAGTCGAAGCGCAACGCGTCGACCACGAGCACCACGGTCTTCAGGTACTGCGGCGCGTCGAGGCACGCACCGCTGCCGCACTCGGCGACGTCGGGCAACACCAGCCGCGAGAGGAGGAAGCCTTTGGCGAAGAGGTACACGCCGATGAACTGGAGCGAGGCGAGGAACACGAGCACGCCCGAGTAGCCGAGCAAGCTGGCGCGGAGCTTGTGGTGGCGCAAGCGGGCGCGCGCGTGCTGCTGCTGCTGGAGCTGGACGCGCCGGGCGGGGCGGGGCGGGTCCATGGGGAGGGGGCGGGGGTGTTGGGGCGGGTGTTTGGGGGGTGTTTGTAGGAGGTTGGGGGTGTTTGTAGGAGGATGTTCGCGGGTTGTTCGCGGGTTGTTCGCGGAGGTTGGGGGAGGGCGCGAGTTTTTTCGGCCCGGCCCTGGGCCTGCGCGGCCCTGGCCCTGGGTGGGCTGGAAGGGCGGGGCTGGCTGATGCCGGTGCACCTGGACCCTTTTCTTGGGGAACGTTCTGTTACAGGGTGAGAGCGGAGGGGACGAGGCCCTGTAAGAAGGGCTGTGGGAACATGGCTCCGGTGAGCGCAAGCTAATTCGGGGAACCTTCCATAGCCAATGTCAATGACTTGTATGAATTAACTAGATGTCATCGTCCCTATATTTTCCTGAGACCACGGTTCACATTTGGCTCATATTTGTTTTTGTTTTTGTTCTTTGTTTTTCTTAAAATATAGTATTACCCGTCATTGGAGGATACGTGACCAGTGCTATATGAAAAGCTGTAGAAGCATGGCTCAGGCAGTAATGCGAGCAATAATTTATGAACTCTCTTAAACAGGATTGCCCTCAAACAGACGTCTGCCCATCACCAATGTCACCACTTGAATTAAGTAACTAGATGTCATCGTCCCATAGCAAATGTTTTCCTCTTAAGTCTTGGCCCTGACTCAGCGTATTTGCTCTGTTTGATTTTTGCGTTGGTATGGACCTCCAGTTCTGTTGGCCTCGTTATCTGAAGCCCCAGAGCGAGCCCACTGTTTGCGAAAAGAGTATTGCTAATCAAATCAGAAATACACCACAACCCCGTGAACAGTCCTCATTTTTCTAAGATACACTAGTTATGTATTATTCGTTTAAAAAGAGATACACAGAATCTTTGGGACTTTATATCTTTAAAAACATCATATTATAGGGTGTCACTGGAGGGATAAGACCACTACTATAAGAAAACGCTATTGACGCATTGGCTCAGGCAATGATGCGCGAGCATAATTCAGGGAATCTCCCAAAGCCAATGCCAATCAATTATTAACTAATTGTCATCGTCCTATGGGATATACTTTCCTGAGGGCCGTGGCCATAGCTCATTTGACAAGGCAGACGTGACGCTTTGTGCAATCCGCCGGACCCATACGAGTGAGCATTCTGCTGGGCCAGGCCAGGCCTTGGGGGACCGGGGAATTCCCAGATAAGAGCAACGCATAGGGATTTTGAGAATACCCATGGGGGAACTAATGTCAAAGAATATTTGAATGGGTGCTCACAATGAATAGTATCAATGAGCAATACCAATGAATACTAGAATGAGTTATCACAATGAATAGTGTCAATGACTACTACTGATGAGTGATATCAATTAGTTGTATCAATGAGTAATAATAATGAATAGCACTATTAAAGACTATCAATTATCCCAACAATACCATCAATACTAATATAACCAACATAACCAACAATACCAGTTATACCATTAGCATACCAATAAATACCAATAAATAACATCCATCAACAAAAATGGATAAAACTAATAATAATACTAATAAATCATACCAATCAAAAACATCAATTAGTATTACAGTACATAATACGAATGGATGAGTTTAGTGAACAATACCAATGAATAATATCCATGTGTAATCTCATGAGTGATATCAATTAGCAGTATCAATTAGTAATATCAATGAATAATACTAATAAAGCACACTGATAACCTTTGCCAGTAAACCAACTATACCAATACCAATGAGTACCGGCAAATATCAATGAATAAAATCCATGAAAAGTAATGAATAACACTAATGATACCGATTGTAATAGTGATACCAAGAGTGCCAATAGATAATACCAATGAGTATTAGTGAATAATATCAACGAATAATACCAATAATATCAATGACCAGTAACTCACTTCAATGTGCTATACCAATGAATGATACCAATGGATATACTAATGAGTAACACCCATGAAATAAAAGAATACCAATAGATTCATAACCATCAGCAACTCATGAGCTGGAGCCCCGAATAAAGAAGCTGAGATAGAATATCCATGTCCTCATGAACAGCACCAATGGATCTAGGATTCGAAATTATAGCCAAATCCCTCAATTTCTCTCATCTGTCATGGCATCACCACGCCTTCTTTCCCAGACTCCTATGGTGAGAGGAACTTTTGGTGTATCGACAGCAAACAGGCCTCTTTGCCCTCTCATTCTTCTGAAATCTGTAGAATGCTTGTGTTGTTCGACATCCTGGTGAATTGAGCACACCACGGATCCCAGCGTATTGCTATCCTCCTCATGTAAGAAAACCCCAGCTATCTCACCCGCTTGGATCAATATCTGCATTTCCATAGCCAAACCACCAGCAAAGATTATCACCGCTACACACAACGAAGCAATAACTTCCAAAGTCTCTCATCCATGGTATAATATATATCATAAAAGAAGCTGTGTCCAGAAAACCAACAGCATCTTAGTAAGCTGGCTCATAATATCTGCACGCAGTAATAAGGTCAAGAGGAATGGGTGGTCCCAGGGACAAATGCTATTAAAGGCTTTAACACAAAAATATGTCGACATGATCTTCATCAGTCTCTAGCTGGCCCCGGGGTTTCTTGTTTATAGCATACGAGAAAGTCAAAATGCCAAGAAAACAGGGTTAAACCATGGTTTCCAATATTCTGGTTTGATTGTTCTGGGTATCTTCCAGACAAATGTGGACAAAGCCTTGACATGTAATATGTGCTTGGGAAGTGAGTGTTAAAATAGAATAAACGCATTGTTTGCACCCAGAACCATTGGACCCCGTTTTCAGTTAACACATTCTGTATCACGAGCTTGCGGCGTTCGTAGCACCTAATAAGTCTGAGGCCTTGCTCGGCTATTCGTACTTCGACCAACTTTGATTCGAATCTTGGGCTACTATAAGTTAGCCAACGACACTTCCATTTTCAAAGCTTTTCTTTTATAAAGTGTGCTGGCGAGAAATGGGGCTTTCCGAAGAATTATTCTTGCGCACAAGTTTAGGCAACACCAGTTGTCATGCCAGTTTAGCCAGTTGGGCAGTCGACAGAATGACCAAGGCCTCACTCTGGCGTGTAATTTGAGGGAACATTTGGCACAGACTTCAACAGATGGTGCACCTCATGAAAGGTCGATGAATATAAATTCAAATTCTCTGTTTTCGTAAAAACTTTCACTCGGCGGAAGTGGAAGATATGGGTCGTGGAAATATACATGGAAATATACATGGAAAGATACCTGAGTTCTCACCCCAAGTTTCTAGAAGCTTGGTTAATGTGGATTAGAGACTGTCCTTTGTTTCTTTGTTTACTGTATTCATTTCTTCTTCTCGCAGCATAGCTCCTATCAGGTGGCAAACCAGCACCAGTATCGATGCTCAAATCCCACTTTCAGATAATTCTCTGTCTGCTAGAAAGTTTAAAAAATTATGTCTATTTTCTAAGACCTAATTTTTGTTTCATTTCGATTGGGCTTGCGTCAAGAAGCAGCCGCCTAAGCACATCAATCGGGATATTGGACACACATAAAGTGGCAATCCCTAAAACAAAACATATTCTTAGAATCAAAAACGCAAAAATTCCCAGAAACTAAGTCTAGTACAATGTAGTCCGTAACCATCACATTTGAACTTCCACTTACTGACTAATATTATTCTCACCATGAGGATAAGCCATGAATGCCAGTGACCCGAGGGATACGTGAGTGAACACAACAGACAGAAAAGAGATGAACGAGAGTTGGTAGACCATCAAACTAGCAAGGTGGTAACATAAAGGATACCATTTATCTATCTGAATTGAGATACAGAGCAGAGTCCCTTAATATCGGTGAAACGAAGAGCCAAACATAATTCAAGAATAAATAATCGGTCGATTGCATGAGGAACAACGAGTCGATAAAAGCGAACTAAAGGAAACGAGTTAAAAGGTTCCACTACTTATTTTTTCCCAACAATCACGAAATACTGAGTGCTGCAAGGTGATGAAGTCGCCAACATCAATTTTGCACCCATTCGCACAGCGTCGCACGAGCTTCTATGCGGAAAATTTCAAAGTCGACCGGACACTCAAAGTGTATGATGAGATAAAAGCCTGGCTCAGGAAATCAACAGGCAAGTAGACCAACAGACCATTGGATTGAAAGACTAATTAGCGATAAACCAAGAGACCAGCAGACCAATAGCCACGAGATCTAGACTAGTGAGTCAGTGTACCAGTGATCCTAGTGGAGCGGGACACTAGCCCGGAATAGTAATCGAAGAAAACCAGATCTATTTCATTCTGGCAAACCAAGAAAACCACCATAATAAGGTAATTATGATCCATAGTCAGGAAGATGGGCTGGCGCACGGCGCAAATTAGAGTCAACAATCTGGTGAGCAGACAGACAAATGTATCAGAGAGCCGTACTGCAGTACTTCAAGATCGAGAGATGGTCGAGCTTAGAGACCGAGCCAAAAAGCATTGAGCAATGAACAGGCCATGAAGTCAATGCCGCAAGCCACTGCCAGCAAATCAATACCCATGAAACATTTAACCAGTAAACCAGTTTACCGGCACTCCAGCACTCCAGCCCTCCAGCACTCCGGCACCCCAGTATCCTGGGATTGTAAAATGGAGAGAACCAAGAAAGTGCCAGACCCACAAGCACTGTACCTGCAAACCGCCACGCCAGAAGACTGGCAAAAGCTGAATCCGCAAGCCTGCCGAACTGGTGAAGCTCCCCCTGCACCATCGGTCCAATATGTCAGCGAGCTGATGAGCCCATGCTCCGGGCATATGAAAGCGTGAGACGGAAGAGTCCAGCAACGAACATGTAGCAAGAACCCTGCCCGGCCAGTGAAGCCCACGCCACCACTGATGCAGGGAGCCCACGCCACCATAACCACGGAAGCCAGTGCTCCAACATACCAAGATCAGGGGTCTAAGAGACCAGAAGGAAGAGCCTCAGAAAGCCGTGCTTTCATGCACCAACAAGCCAGAAGTCAAGCCAGAAGTCACACACCAACACACCAGAGGCCATGCCCCAGTGCACCAGCAGCACGATGGACAGAGCTCAGGTCTACGCCGGCCCTCGGGCCGGCGGGCGCGTCGCGCTACTCCATGCCAGGGCCCATCAGGCTCAAGAAGTCCACGCCAAACGGGTCGTCGTCCAAGTCCGCCGCGCCCGGCTCCGGGCCCAGGCCAAACGGCATGGCGTCGTCCGGCTTGCCCGGCCCGTCGAAGTCCATCAACGCGTGCATGTCGTCCATGTCGTCGCCCGCGTCTGGGTCCGCGAGGTACTGGTCGATGTCGTCCATGTCCACGGCGGCACCCATGGCCTCATGGCCCGGCGCCACGCCGTCAGGATGCCCGGCCACGGCCCCGCCCGCCGACTCCTTGAGGTACGCCTCGCCCGCCAGCATGGCCAGCGCCAACTGCGGGTCGAAGGGCAAAGCCGCGTCCGCGCCGCCCGGCCCGCGCCCGTCCGCCAACATGCCAAACTCCGGGTACTCGGGCGCCATGTAGCCGTCGGCATACCGGGCGTCGTGCATGGGCCCGGGGGCCGCCAGCACCATGGCGCGCCGCGCGTCGTAGCCCGCCGGGGCCTGTTGCACCGCGCCCGGCGCCAATTCGTGTGCTGCCACCGCGTACTTGCGCACGGCGTTGGCGCGGAGCTCGTGCCGGCGCCCGAACTGCACGCGGGCCTGCTCGAGCGTGTCGGCCAAGGCGCTCTCCAAGGCGGCCAAGGAGTCGGCGTCCGCACACCGGGCCTGGGCCGCGGCGAGGGTGGCCACGGCGTCGCGCTGGAACCGTGCCTCGGGCCCAAGCACGCCGTCCGCGCGGAGCTCCGCGGCGGCCAATTCCTGGGCCAGGACCCGCTGCTTGGCGCGCATCAAGCGGAGGTCGCCGCTGTACAAGTCCGCGGCCTTCAAGCCGCGCACCGCGGCCTCGAGCTCGGCGTCGGAGGCGGACTCGGCGTACAACCTGTCGCCGCTGGTCCTGGAGGGGAACGAGGGCGGCGGCACGATCTGCGCCGTGTGCACGAGGCTCAGCGCCACGTTGTCCAAGAGCCGCTGGTTGGAGATGTAGCGGCTCAACGCGTCGGCGCGGAAGTTGACGAGGTCCGCCTCGTCGTGGAGCTGGAAGCTGGCCTCGCGCCGGGCGCGGAAGGCGTCCTTGTCGGCGGGCGGGGCGCGGGCTTTTGTGTTTTTCTTGGGCCGGCTACTCATGGGAATAGGGTGTGCGATGGGGCCTGTAGTGTGGTGAAGACGCTGAGTGTGCGACCTGGCGATATGGCCTTTGGTGCGGTGTACCTGTTCGTCTGGCGCAGCCTATTTTTCTGGCGATACACCTGTTCTTTTGGTATAGCCTATTTTCCTGGCGATACACCTGTTTCCTGGTAGACCTGTTCGTCTGGTATGGCCTATTTTCCTGGCGATACACCTGTTTCTGGCAATAGACCTGTTCGTCTGGTATGGCCTATTTTTCTGGCGATACACCTGTTCTTATGGTATACCTGTGTCTGGAAATACAGCTGTTTCTCCTGTGATGTACCTGATTTCTGTGATATACCTGTTTCTGGCGATATACCTGCTCTTCTATATAACCTGGTCTTCGCGATGGAATGCCCCAAGGTGGCCTAATCTGACCCTGTGATCTGGCACTACAATCGGCAGTGCGCTGTTGTCGGCGTCGTCGGATCGAAACGCTTGGGCCTACACAGCTAGATACGGAGTGTCAGAACGGGGCCGCAAAGTGCTCGGGCGGCTGGCGCCAGGCGCGTTCACCTGGAGCAGCGCGGCGGGCGTGGAGAAGCTGGCCCGCACACGACCCCGGGCCCGCAAGACCAATATGGAATGAAGATATAAATACAGGCACGGGGGCTCTATGAAAACAGGGGGGAGGGCGAGGCCGGGCGCCTCAGAGGTCGAAGCGCCCGTTGACAAACTCCTCGCTCTCGAGGTGGTGGTCGTGGTCAATGTCCATGTCGTCCTTGTCGTCGTCGTCCTGGTCCTCGATGACCTCGTCGTCTGGCGGGAGGTTCGGGTTGCCCGGGATGAAGGACGCCGGGCTGCGGAACGCGTTGTAGCGGTGCAGCCTGCTGAAGTGCTCGTCGATGGCGGACGCGTCCACGTAGGTGAAGCCCTTGAAGTTGGCCTGGATGCCCGGCGAGAGCGGCGTGGAGCCCATGTCGAGCTGCTTCTTGAGCACGGACGTGGACTCGCTGGTGAACTCCGGGTCGAAGTTGGAGGTGTCGGTCTCGCTGGCCAAGTGCGGCTTGAACGGCGGCGGGATGTTCTTGGCGCGGAGAAGCGCCCAGTCCACGTCCTGGAAGAACGCGTGGTCCTTCAACTCGCGCGCGTCGCGCACGGCGCCGAGGCGGTGCTTGGGGTTGCGGTTGAGCAAGCCCTTGACGAAGGAGCGGCCCTCCGGCGACAAGACCTCCTTGGGGAAGCGCACCTTGCCGAAGGCGATGTTCTTGTACATCTGCTGGGTGTTGTCGGCGTAGAAGGGCGACCAGCCGCAGCACATCTCGAAGATCAAGACGCCCAAGGACCAGAAGTCCACCATCTTGGTGTAGCCGGACTCGTCGAGGAGCACCTCGGGCGCGAGGTACTCGGTGGTGCCGCAGAAGGTGTTGGTGGTGCCGTCGTTGTTCAAGTTGGCCTTGGACAAGCCGAAGTCGCACAACGCGATGTGGCCGTTGGCGTCCAAGAGAATGTTCTCGGGCTTCAAGTCGCGGTACACGATGTCGTTGTCGTGCAAGTGCTCGAGCGCCAACACCAACTCCGCGATGTAGAACTTGGCGCGCTCCTCGCCGAAGCGGCCCTCCTTCTGCAAGTGCCAGAACAACTCGCCGCCAGACATGTAGTCCGTGACCAAGTACAAGTCCGCCTCCGTCTGGAACGAGAACTTGAGCCCCACGATGAACGGCGACGCGGCCGCAGACGTGCGCACCAAGATGTTGCGCTCGCCGATGGTGTGCGCGATCTCCTTCTTCTTGACAATGAGCTTCTTGGACAAGATCTTCATGGCGTAGATGCGCCCGTTGTCGCGGTTGCGCACCTGGTACACCTGCCCGAACGTGCCCTTGCCCAACAACCGCAACACGTCGAAGTCGCCCGGGCCGTACGCCTTCTGCGCGTCGTTGTGCCAGAACACCCAGCGCACCTGGAGCGCGCCGGCCACACGCTCGCCCACCACGCGGGCCCGCAACGGCACCCACTGCGGCGCCACGGCCTCGCCCGAGCGCGCGGGCGCCGTGTCCGGGCAGAGCCGCACCTGCCCGAGGAACGCGTCGTCGCGCGCCGCGTCGTACACGGAGATCTCCAACTGCGAGCGCGTGCCCACCACGTCGAACACGGCCTCGTGGTTCCACGTGGGGCTGCTGCAGCCGGCCGCGGCCGCGGGCTCGAGCTGCGACGCCTGCCGCTGGAGCCCCGCGCGCACGCCCATGGGCACGCCGGGCCGTGCCGCGGGCGACCGGCCCGCCGCCGCCGGCGCGTTGTTGACGAACTCCAGGCTCTCGTACGTCGACACCACGTACGGCTGCGAGCACCCGGCCACGAGCAACCCGCGCGCGCCGACGATGCTGACCTTGAGCTTGCCCTTGGGCTGCAGCGACGCGTGCGCGTGCGTGGCGTGGCCCTTCTCGTCGGTGGTGATGATGACGGGCTGCGCCAGCGACCCGGACAGCTGCAGCGACAGCGGCTGCAGCGGCGGCGGCGCGGCGGCGCTTTCGGTGTTGTCGGTGTTTCCGGTGTTGTTTGTGTTTCCGGTGTTGCCCATGGTTCCCGTGTTTTTGGCGTTTGCGGCGCCGCCGGGGGGCTCGGCGCAGTACGCGTCCACGTGGTGCACGTGCGGCGGCGCCTGGCGCAACGGCTGCCAGCCGCCCAACACGGGGCTGGCGCCCACGCCGTGCTGCGAGCCGGCGGTGGTGCCGTAGGCCATGGACTGGTCGGACACGGCGGTGGTGGGCGCTGACGCGAGGCGCTTGGGGAGGAGCCGCGCCAAGGACGCGGGCGGCGCGGGCTCCGCGGGCGGCTCCTTGCGCAGCGAGCCGAAGCCGAGGAAGGACTTGGCGAAGCCGCTCATGGGGGCGGCGGTCCGGCGGGTGTGGTGGTTATCGACGGGTCCGGCGGTATTAGCGGGACTCGACGGTTCAATGAGAGTCGACGGTTTAATGGGACTTGATGGTTTAATTAGACTCGACGGTTCAATCAGACTCGACGGTTTCAATGAGAGTCGACGGTTCAATCAGACTCGACGGTTTCAATGAGAGTCGACGGTTTGATTAGACTCGACGGTTTAATTAGACTCGACGGTTTAATTTGACTCGACGGTTTAATTTGACTCGATGGTTCAATGAGACTCGACGGTTTAATTAGACTCGACGGTTTAATTTGACTCGACGGTTTAATTTGACTCGACGGTTTAATTTGACTCGA